CGCTCGCGCACGCGCACGCGCACGCGCACGCGCACGCGCACGCGCACGCGCACGCGCACGCGCACGCGCACGCGCACGCGCACGCGCACGCGCACGCGCACGCGCACGCGCACGCGCACGCGCACGCGCACGCGCACGCGCACGCGCACGCGCACGCCGCACGCGCACACGCACACGACACACACGCACACGCACACGCACACGCCACACGCACACGCACACGCACGACGCACACGCACACTGTCACGGCACACACACACACACACACACACACACACACACACACACACACACACACACACGCACACGCACACGCACACGCACACGACACGCACACGCACACGCACACGCACACGCACACGCACACGCACACGCACACGCACACGCACACGCACGCGCACGCGCACGCGCACGCGCACGCGCACGCACACACACACACAATACACACACCACATACAAAAATATATAGACACAAATCCAGGATGCCCGATCTCTTCCATCTTCTCTGGATGTTCGTCTTCCCCTCCGCTCCCATGTGTCGCCGCGCCATGTGTTCTCGACGCGCCCAAGTGGACGACGCTGACACCACGGCAAACCCACGGCAAACTCTGTGTCCGAGGCGGAGTTTGCCCTGGTGGCCAAGGCGCCCTTCCCAAGACGCAAGACCGCGTGTCGGAACAAGCGGAGCGGCGACAGATGTTCCGCATTTCCTGGAAGCCGACGATTCTCTGTGCCTGCGTGTTGCCTCCCCTGCCCCTCAGGCCGCGGAACGCGCCAGGGGGCGGCGACGGGGGCGCGCGGTGAGGGGCGGGCCCGGCGCCGCGGCCCTGGAAGTCCGCGGGGGTCGCTCGTCGTGAAGTCCACTCGGCCCTTCGACCCCGCGGGCCCCCAAAAGCCTCGACCCCTCCCCCCAGGGGCAACTCTCTTTCCCTCCCCGGTCCACTTTTGATGGCTGCACGGGGCCTGAAAGCGGCCCGCGGAGAGGCCGGCGATGGCGAGACACGCGAGCATCAACGAAACGCTGGGAAATCCGCCGGCGCAAATAACATGGCGAAAAGTTGAAGCTCGCTGAGGGACAGCGAGCGCGATCTGTGCCTCTGGGGCAACGAGGGGTACTGCTCGTAGGATAAGAGCAAACCCAAGCAGTCCAATCGTCGGTAAGAGCAAACCTAAGATCCGAACTTCTTGCGAATGGGAGTCGTACGAATTGCGATTGACAGATCAAGCGCGCGAAAACTCACGATCGGAGCCCTTGATCTTACCTTTCGTCGGCATCTTCCGAGCCCGATCGATCCGTGAGGGCCTCACGGCCCGAAGCCGGGCGAGCACACTGCGGCGCACGGATCTCGGGGGAGGCCTGGACCCCCCTCTCCCCTCCTCTCCCTTACCGGACATCGTATGTCTTCTTTTTTTCAATGCTGCTCCTCATCTCTCCTCCTCCTCCTTCTCCTCCTCCTCCTCCTCCTCCGCGCGAATTTCCTGGATCGGCGCTGGACCCCCCTCCTTGGCGCGCGGAGCGCGCCAGCGGGCCCAGCGCCAATCTCACAAACACACGCGCGGAGCTCTGACAGTTTGTTGATGCATGTTCTTTTTCCTCGATCCCCGACCTTACCTGCAGAGCCATGAAGTTCATGGAAGGCCATGGGATCCAGGAAGACAAGACGAAACAAGACGAAGATAAAATCGGATACGTAAGGATAAATCAATAACCTCTGAGATCAGGCGGCAATGGAAAATGTATCGGGCGCCGCGGCCTTCTCTGAGCGTTTCGGAACGCTCTGAGAGCGTTCCGGAACGCATTGATCCTCGTCCTAGCCACGTCCGAGGAGATGTCATGGGCCCCCCTTTGCCATCACCCCCATCTTGGCCGCCCCCGACCTCCCCGACCCTTCCCTGCAGAGCGCGCCTGGCGGGCCCATGCCTGGCGGGCCCATGCCCGGCGGCATGCCCATCATGCCCGGCGGCATGCCGGGCATGCCCGGCGGGCCCATGCCCGGGGGCGGAGGCATGCCCGGCGGCATGCCGTACATGCCGGGGGGCGGCGGCATGCCCGGCGGCATCCCGAGCATCCCCGGCGGCGGCATGCCGGGCGGCATGCCCGGCATCCCTGGCATGACATCCGTGCGTGCGGTGACGACGACGACGACGATAAGGCGACGACGACATGCACGACGACGACGCCGACGACGGCGGCGGCGGCGGTGGCGACGACGACGGTACGGCGACGAAGATCTTCCAACACGACGACGACGGTACGACCACGACGACGTTACGACCATAGGGCGATGACGGCAACGACAACGACGGTACGGCGACAACAACGACGACGACGACGACGATATAGCGACAGCGACGACGACGACGGTACGGCGACTACGACGGCGACGACGATGGTACCCAAACGCCCTCGCGCCGTGAAAAACATTCGACGGAATATATCTTGTAGTTGTTGTTGCTGCTGCTGCTGCTGTTGTTGTTGTTGTTGTTGTTGTTGTTGAACTCTCAATTAGAACGCATAATTATTGATGATCCCCGCCCTCCAGGGCACATTGTTTTTTTCAATTGAAAAAGTGCCCTTTCCGGGGCTCGCACGCTGCTTTTCTTTTAAGGAAAATCTTGGGTCTCTGAATTGAGTTGTTGGTCCCCAGCTTACAACAACAGCAGCTCCCGCCTGATCCTTCCTCACTTGTATTCCCATATCGCGCTCTCGCGCGGGACTTCCCCACAACTTACTCGGAAATCACGCTCTCGCGTGGGAGTTCCTCGCAATTTATTATAATGCCGCGCCTTCGACACTCAGGAATCACGCTCTCGGATTTGCTTTTCTAACGATATATTTGGGAATTGCGCTATCGGTCGAAACTTCCTCGCGATTCATGCAGGGACCACGCTTCAGCAACCCGTCTGCTCGACCTGGCCGCGTGGGCCCGCCTTCCCGACCGTCCCGCGTTGGGTCTGCCCACCCCCGATCAGCCCGTCTGGTTCTACCACAAATTTTCTGCTCCTTGCCCCCCTCCTGCTAATTTCTCTCGCGCTCCATTCTTCTCCCTCCCCCTTTCATCCGTCTACTTCCCCTGATTTAAGGGCTGCACTCAATGCGCGTGGCAGGTAAGGAAGATATATCCCCCAAGGGGGTACGATCAACGACGCCGAGGGCGGGTAATGAGGGTTTGGGGTATACATATTGATTGGCAGGTGAGCAGGTAGGAGCGAACAGTCTCGATGTGATTGTTGTTGTTGCTGTTGTTGTTGCTGTTGTTGGTGTCGTTGTTATTACTGTTGCGTTTGAATCTCATTTCTAAAAACAAGAACTGCTTTCCCCCCCTTCCGAGACACACTTTGTTCTTCAATTGAAGTGTCCTTCCCCGGGTTAGTACTTTTATGTTTGAAAACAATACTGGGTGTCAAGATTGGGCTGTTGGCCCCGCTTTACGACAACAACGGCTCCGTCAGATACTTCTTCACAAATGTTCCCACATCGCGCTTTCGCATGGGAGTTCGTCGATATGTATTGAAATACCGCGCCTTCGACACTCAGGAATCACCCCGCTGTAGATTTCCTCACGATATATTTGGGAATCGCGCTATCGCTCGAAACTTCCTCGCGACACATGCAGGGCCCACGCTTCAGCAACCCGCCTGCTCGACCTGGCCGCGTGGGCCCGCCTTCCAGACCCGCCCGTTCGGGTTTATTCCGCCCTATCTGCCCGTCTGGTTATGCCACGTGTTTTCTTCTCCTGGCCCCCCTTCTGCTACTCTCTCTCTCTCTCTCGTGCTCCATCTTCCTCCTTCCCCCTTGTTCTTTCCTTCCATCCGTTCTCTTCCCCGGCCTGAGGGGCTGCATGCAATACACGTAACAGGTAACCGAAATATTCCCCCAATGAGATTCGATGGAAAATGAAGGGGGCGGATATCGAATGTTTGGGATATACGTGTTGGATGGTACGCGATGACAGAAAAGCGAGCAATCTTGAACTGATTGCTGTTGTTGTTACTGGTGTAGTTGTTGCTGGTGAGTTTGTTGTTGTTGTCGCTGTTGGTGAGATTGTCGTTGTTGTTGTTGATGTTGTTGCTGTGGAATTCTCACTACTGAACAGCAACTATTGTTGACCCCACCCCTGTGGTGTTCATGTGCTTATCAATTGAAATACTTCCCCCAAGGCTCGCACCCTGTTTTTTTTGCCAGGGGGGGTCACAAAGGTCATACTGTGCCCCTGGCCCCGGGTTGCAACAACGACGGCTCCCGCCTGAGACTTCCTTGCAATTTAGCCAGGACCCCAGCTCCCGCCTGAGACGTCCTCGCATTTTACTCAGGAGTCGCGCTCTCGCTTGGGACTTCCTTACAACTTATGCAGGAATCGCTCTCTCGGCGCTCTGGAGTCGCGCTCTCGCCGGAAACTTGCTTGCAATGTATTTAAGAATCGCGTTCTTGCGTTGGAGCTTCCTGCAGTTTACCCAAGCGCCGCGCCCCAAACACTCAGGCACCCAGGAGTCGCGCTTACGCCTTGGACTCGCTAGCAGCTTATTTGGGAATCGGGATCTCGTTGCAGGCCTTCGTGGCCCCCTCGCTGCCCTTTCGTGGCCCCGTTGCAAATCTTCGTGGCAACTTCGCCGCCCTTCGTAGTTCCGTTGCAGGCCTTCGTGGCCCCCTCGCTGCCCTTTCGTGGCCCCGTTGCAGGCCTTCGTGGCCACCTCGCTGCGTTTCGTGGCCCCGTTGCAGCGTTTCGTGGCCCCCTCGCTGCCCTTCGTGGCCCCGTTACAGCGCTTCGCGGCCCCCTCGCTGCCCTTCGTGGCCCCGTTGCAGCCCTTCGTGGCCCCCTCGGTGCACTTCGTGGCCCCGTTGCAGCCCTTCGTGGCCCCGTTGCAGCCCTTCGTGGCCCCCTCGCTGCGCTTCGTGGCCCCGTTGCAGCCCTTCGTGGCCCCCTCGCTGCGCTTCGTGGCCCCGTTGCAGCGCTTCATGGCGCCCTCGCTGCCCTTGGTGGCCCCGTTGCAGCGCTTCA